TTAATTGTTCTCCAATTTCAGACTGGAGCTCACTCATTTTCCAATTTATGTCTCCATGTGTTTGTTCAGTCTCTCTTTTTCCAACATGGAGAGTGAAATGAAATAAATCAGACAACCAAAAAATGAAATAACAAACCCAAACATCATAGCATTCTCTTAGCTTCTGCTGTCCAGAAGATGGTTATATTGTCTTAGAAGAAGTCTCATTGTGCCCAGAAGAACAGACTGTCTGTGAGGATGTCAATCATGAAATGATTTCCTCCCTAAAAAAAGACACAAGACACCTCCCATCTCCACTGTCAGCACAAGGCAGAGAGGAGCAGAAGACCAGCTCCAAGAGTGAGGATTCCCTGCCACAGATGACACCTAATAGTCATACATCTTGTAGAGAAGATTGGAGACTGCGAACCCCAGTGAATACAGATAAAGATTTGCACTTGAAGCAAATATTTAAGCTGAAAACTATTGTAAAATATTGTCAAACCTCTAGAAGAGCAATCTTTCTTAGTAAAGAGGAGTATGGCTCCAATAACATGGAAAGAAGCAAAGATACCCAATCTTGTATAGAGAAAGTGGCAACCATAGAAGTACAGAAAAAAAAAATTCTGAGCTATAATGGATAAGTGTTCTCACCACTTTTAACAAGGAATTGGGAGGTGATATTAGATTTCACTGCATATTGTATATCCAAACTAAATATATTGTGATGGAGACTTACCAGCCCTCCTGTGCTGGCTCTCATTTCACCTGTCTGTTTTCCCTGACAGATTATTTTCACTGTGCCTTGTGATGCAGCTTAAGGTTAGGGAATTTATATGCTCTGATGCTGAAAGATATGTCTAAGAAATAAAAATATGCATGTTTCTGAAGTTTTCTTGTGAATTACTAACTGTTTCCGGTCTAGAGCTTGAATTCACTCTGACCAATAGTACCAGTGGCGGCTGTAGTTCAGAGGCAATTGTTAATAATCATCGTACTCATCTCTGGCTTCTGAGTGAAGAACATTTTCAATCCTGACCCATCCTACTTTTTAAGGCACACACTTCTTTATGAACAATGGATAGTATCATTTTATCTTGCATTAAAATCTGCATTAGCTGTTGGTTGTCTGTTGACTCCACCGAGCATTTAAGGTCAGGTCAACCAAGCCTACCATGAATGTTCCACTCCAATCATCTTACATTATAAAATTATATTTCACATTTTCCTGTACTTGTTTTTCTCTTAGGCATTTTTTAGCTGTACCTGCCTAAATTCTATCTTTCCAATATGGTGTAGGACAAATGGCTCATAAAATCATGGTCAGAGCCATCTCTTCCTTCTCCAAACTCCTATTTTTATGTTGGCTTTCAGATGGCTCATTTATTTTATTTTTATTTATTTATTTATACACTCATATAATTTCTTCTGAAAATTATAAGCTTCTTAAAACTAGAGCTGCATAGACTATGGCTTAAGGTCTTGAAATTAGTAAGTAGGTAGTAAAAGCTTGGTGAAAAAAAATGACTGCAAAAATCACTCTTGCTCTCATTCCCACTCACACAGAAGCACAGAGAATAATCAGAGGCAAAAATATACATACATTTTTCCTATATTACTATATAATTATAGGTATAAATATAGATATTAAGTCTTTTGCAAAAGAATTCAAAATGAATATCCAGAAAGTTTGGCATTATGGAAGTTCTTCCCAGGTTCATGTAGTCACGGAAGGAAGATTTCAATAGTGCATATGAGGACAGTTGCCAAAATATGTCAGAGTCAGAAGTGGTGTTGTGCTATCACATTTTGAGATAAAACACTTTTTCACTGAAATTTAAAAAAACAACTACATTCATGCTCTTATTTAAGGATTTTCTAATATATTTTTAATTGCTCTTCATAATATTAGCCTTTTGATATATTCTGTGAACAAAGGATATTATATTCAAATAAGTTTGCAGAACTATAAAATTATGTGTCTGTTTTGGAAATTCATAATATAAAGTGTATATTAAAGGTTTCCAGAAGCCAGATAGCTTTTTAAAAGATGGGTTAACCTTGGTTAACCTTGTATCTCAATTATAACTGCCCTTGGAACAGTCTACTTCCTATAGAAACTGTAAATATCCTGAGGAAATAAATTTTCAAGGAAAATATTTTAGAAAACAAGATTCTTACATCTATATAAAATATTTATATCTAATACATAACATATACTGCTAACCCCAAGAGATCTATTTTAACTCTGCCTTGAAGGTGAGATATTTACAATATTTTAGTTTTGGTTTCTAAATGATCAGAGTGCCTGTCATCTAAGTGCCAGAGCTTAGGTGAAGGAAGGGCAGGCCTGTAACTCTGTCTACTCTATGTACCTATATATAGGGAATACAGGTAACAGAAGGGTGGGAGTGTGAAAATGTCCCCTACCTCTAACTCTTGTTGTAAGTGGAAGCAGAATCTCAATGTACATCTGAAGGATCCATTTCAGCTGCTGCATTCTTTTTCCCCTGATTGTATTTGCTCCATTCTGCAAATCTCTCTTCAAAAATGTCTTTGTGCATATATGCCTCACATTTTTAATGATGATTTACAACTTCATTTGAAGCCCTCAACTATATTTATAATTAATGCATAATCTTATTTCCATAATGTTAGATAACACACTCTTCCGCCTGACCTCATACTCTGCAGAACTGTATTATAGCAATAAGATGACAAAGGCTTAAATATATTGATATCCTAGTTAGAACATTTAATTCTGACTATCAAAGAGTAGCCAGTATAAATTTTACAGAAGTAAATCTAAGTGCTTTAAATATATTTTGTAATCTTGTTTAGAATGGTGCCACATAATTAAGATATAGCCAACTACTTAATACAATTTTGGTGAAAAAATGACTGCATAAATCACTCTTGAATGCTTTTATAATCACACAGAGTTACAGAACAGCATCAGAGGTAATTGTAGCTATATATCTATGTATTTATATATCTAAGTATCATATATCTTTATATAAGTTTATAAACCAAGTAATCTGTGATTAAAAGCATGATTGTCATAAAATTACTAACCACTATTAAGTTAACCAATGTTCTCTTAACAATAAATTAAATTCTGAAAATGTTTCAATAATACACTATCATTCTATTTAGCCATCTAAACTATTTTAATGCAAGAGAACAGTAAGAATAATAGCATTTGAAATACTGTAATTCTAGATAGAAATATTTAGTGAAAATAAGGAAGGCCTTGCCTTAAATAGTATCCAAATGGGATACTATTTAATTTTTAATTAAATATCTAAATCTAAAATATTTGTCTTTATCACTAGCATGGGGTATTTTTTAAATCCATAAGAGCAAAAAGTTTAGCAATGCAAAGACTCATTAAGTGAAGGCCAAAATTTCCCAGAACGTAATGGAAAGAAAATAAACATTTACACTTACATTTGGATCATTGAGTTTGAGATCACCACCAAGATGAGAAGGATAAATAGAAAATGCATTTTTAAAAAACGAACCCATCCTCACCAACACTCTTCTTACACTGGGGAGATTATTTGGGCAAATGTATTATTGTTCTTCCTCAAAGTGGCTATTGCCTTAATGGCTCCACAAGAAAAAAAATAAAACATTCTCTTTTATCACACTTTTCATGGTCAGGGATTATTTGTGATAGAGAAATAAATAGATTGAGATTTGGAAAAATGAGATAGATTTCACACGGAATGAAGCTAATTAGAATATTGCAAAAGTTCTCTTTTAAAGGGAAAGGAAATGAGGAAATGATAGTATAAAACTAAGAAATGATAAATCTGTTAAGTAGAGTTTTTAACTACTTAACTTCCCCACAAGTAAACAACATGAAGAGGGCAAATTTAATATAAAATTTGATAATATGGAAAACAATGAGAATTTTACAGATATAATTTCTACAGATCTCTTATTAGTCATAATGGTTTTTAGACAAGGAGCATAAAATTCAAAACTACTAGTCATGGTGCTATGAGAGTAAAGTGAAAGATATGAGGTCTTATTCCCCAATTAAATGTTTCCAAAGGGCCAATACTCAGAGCTCTGATAATATTTTTTAAATGTTGTCATAACTCAATTTTATCTGCAGAATCTACAAGGAGATTAGATAGTCACAAGTTTTTTCTAAGCATCTTTACCAATGTTCTAGGCCTTTGTGACTAAATCATTGTTATATTTACCTTGTTTTCAGTCACCAGAACAAACATTAGCACCTTTGAGTTACTGAATCACTGTCAAAATCAATGCCACTTTCCACCATGTGGTCTAATATAACTGGTGGATTTGGACTATACCTCTTCCAATTTTCCTCTGATTGACAATATCTTCTTCTTCAGGTAGAACTCCAGTGAAGGTAGGAAAGGGTTTGGTATTAGGCTGCTATTACTAACAACACTACCTGTTCCTGATTGGTATGATATAGCTACTTGCATTCAATATTCCTATAATTCAAAGCAAGACATATGTTTCAATAAATGAATGATACGGAGGTTGTCTCATTTTCATCACCTTTACTGTTTATGACAGGAGACTACATTTAGCTAAGTGTTTGCTTTTTGGCTAAGCTTTTGCCTGTGACATCTCCCAGTACAATGACAATCCAACTACAAATACCCAGAACCACTATTCCAGGCAGAATTCATGAAATAATGCTGGAAAAGGATAACGGTGACACATAATAAAACACAGACTGAATCAAACTGGTGGTAAAAACATGACCTTCCTCCATAAGGTCAAATAGTTTTATTTTGATTAAACACTACAATACAGTATATATCCATTAAAAAAGAAAACTCTATGGTGTATATAAATTATTCCTTCCATTCATGAACTCCTCTTTTCATTTCCATTACAGCTTTGGTACAATGTGATTTAGTATATAGTTTTTAAATACTTTTAGCATCACAAACTCAACACAAAGTACAAAACTAATTCGAATCAGGGAGATTATAATCTACACAGTGGTATTCAGTGGTAGGAGAAAATCTTACCTTGATGAATTCATGTCACTAGCTAAGCTATAAAGGCATACCTAGCAGACATGACAGAAATATGCACCATTAACCAGCTAATGTGTGTATTAGTCTTTTTTTATTTTTTACAGAATACCAGCAGCATTCATTTGAGTGTGGAGTGAATACTTAAGTCCCCAGCCACTTTTCCCAACTTGCTCCACTTCCCTTAAAGGCCATGAGTAATATCTGATGAAATGCACCACAGGCAGAGCATTCAGAATTTGACCTGCCAACCAGTGTTGCTCATGCTTGCACAGTTTGTCCTGCAGCTGGCAGACATCACAGGGACAGTGCTGGAAGGGCAGTGTGGACCAAGCAGCCTAAGGTTGTTCTGAGGGGTTGGTGGCGTGACATTACAGTACACAGGCATTCCGGTGGCTGGGAGCGACCCTTGGCCTGCCTGGTTAGGCAGCATGACTGGCTGTTGGTATGTCTGCTGGGGCACTCCTTGAGAACCTTGGGTCATTGGCACCTGTAGAAGACAGAAGCAAACCCTGTGTGAAGGGGCTGCTTTGCTGTGTGCAATGAACAAAGTGTTGTCATGACAAGCACTTCAGCTTTTGGGGCACAGAGGCTGGCACAGGGCCAGTATGCAACAGTTGCCCAGAAAGTCTAGTTCTGCACTGTCTTCTCTCTTCTTTCTTGATGCCCTCTAGGGACTACACCTGGATCTGCAGGAGGGGTGTTCTTTCAGTTTGGAAAGCCATGTCCTTTTCTGATTTTATGCAAAGTGATTTGGAGCCTTCCACAATAAAAAGGGCTTTGTGCAAGGTAGGAAAGTCTAGGAGAGGTGCTTTAGAGCAAGGAATACTTTACCTCCCACCAGCACAGCTAAATCTAATGGTTAAAGCCTTGCACTAGCTCTTCATTTCTACTTCCAGGGTGTTGCAGAACATCACAAAAGGGTGTAAAGCACATTTTACACACTAAAGTCAAGTTTAGTCTGGAAAATGGAGCTATTAAGCCTCATAAGTGCCCTTAAATAAATTTGAGATGCCATTTAAAATTTTCTAATAATTTATAATCATGGTATAATGAAGTTTTTTGTATGAGTACAAAAAAAATGACTGGAAATTTATACTGGGGGCTTTCTACCAATAAGTGAAATTTCAATTAAATGCCCAAAGGTCTTCATGAAAAGAATTCTAACGAATTTTCTTCTACAAATAGAAAGTTTATAGGGAAACAAATTTATAAGAACATTCAAATGTCATAGTAGTTATAGAAGCATATATTTCCCATTTTCTACCTTTATAATCTTGAGTCAAAGTCAACTAACAACAGTGGCAGAGCGAAGTACTCACCACCTAGTCAAGCACACAACACAGAAATTCCCACAGCTTTTACTTTGGAAAGTGCAACTCTATAATCCCCAATCTTTCAGCTGCTAATGTGCACCTGATAAGAAGACATGGTTGGGTAGGAGACCATCACGCCTTGCACGGGAGCTCCTTGTTGGCTGCTCACCACGCCCTGACTATGAGCCGGCTGCTGCACTCCCATCAGGCCTTGGAAGCCCTGCTGACCAGATAAGACTGGCTGGTAACCTGTGAAGAAAAGCAAAGTCCCTTTTGAAAACATGCTAGTAATGCCCAAGAACATGTGGCATTTCTTGGAGTGAAAGCCTCTGTTCCCACGGCAAGCTTCAAACATCTCAGTCTCTGTATCAGGAATGTACTATACAGCTGTTGGTTTCCTAAGATTACAGTTTTTTACTTCTGAGAATGGACAAGACTATGGACCCCCAAACTCCACTGATGCTTCTATGGTTTCTCAGAATGGTTCAACAAACACACGTGACAGTGGTAAACTCTTCATAACACAAAGACAGAAGCCTCTCTTGACATCAGTTGACTGCTATCAATGACACCTTTTATATTTGGCTTTTTGTTGGTTTCAATGGTATTTCGAGAATTCACAGATTATAAAAGACTTTTAAAATTAAATTACTTTTTTCCTTACTCTCCCATCTTCCTACACTATCTTATTCTACACAGATACTATAAGCAGCCTATTAACTTTGGATGAATCCTGTTTGTTCGTGTTGTATGAACTCATTACCCTGAATAATTAAATAGCCTTTGCCTTAGACAACAGGCAACAGCAAGTAAAAGGTATGACATGCTTTATTCTGTTTCACCATTAACTGCTAGGAGAACATTCTGGTAAAACATTCAATAGGTGACCATGAATATAGATCAGAATACAACATAATGCATTTGTTTGTAGTCATCTAGTTGGTCAGTGGTTGGCTTTCTTTTCTTTTTTAAGTGGACCAGAATTGACTTATTTCAGTTATTTTAATCCTTTCCACAAGGGATTTAAAATGCATTCTTTTTTTTTTTAAACATTTTTTTGTTTATTTACTTACATGTGCATACATTGTTTGGGTCATTTCTCTACCCTGCCCTCCTCCCCCACCCTTCCACCCTCCCCTCCTCAGTTTCAGGCAGGTCCCTTCTGCCCTTATCACTGATTTTGTTGAAGAAAGGACATATGCATAATAAGAAAGACAATGTGTTTTTGCTAGTTGAGTTAAGGATAGCTGTACAGAAAGATTCTTACTATTGCTTTCATGTACCCATGTGTTATGACCCATGTTGATTCAACTCTAACTGATCTTTAACTTGGTTCCTGATCCCCTGCTCATGATAACCTCTGTCATTTTAAGATTTCTGTATTAGTTCCTCTGGAGTGGGGACATCAAACACTTTCATGTTTTGGGTTTTCTACCTATTCTTATATCTCCCATATGTGCTTTCCCCTTGTCATGTGAAGATTCTGATTTGCACTTATAAATGTTGAGAAGACCGTTCTGACTTAGGAAAAAATGACAAAGTGGTACAGAAGTAAAACAGATTCATGTCATGCTGTACAATAAGGTGCTTCTAGAGCTTACACTATTCACCATGCTGACTCCTGGGGAATAAATGAAACTGCTGTCTTAAAATGAATCTCTGAGAGAGAAGACCCTTTAAAATCCTAGATTTTCCGAACATAAGCAGTGAGCTAAATTTTGCAGCCTGATTCTAAAAATGAAACAAAAGGTTAACAAAAAAAAACCCAATCAATATGCATCGTTAATAAAAAGCGTAAATTGAGTGTGTTAAAGTTTTAACTTAATATCAAAGAAAGATAAAATTACATGATAGTCTTTGTAAAAGAAAATAGTTTTTTCTCCTTTGTTATATAAAAATACATGTTTATTCATTTCAGAGACAGTGTAGAAAAATGGCATGGAAATAGTCACCGAATTAGAGGATTGGTTCAATTCACCGAACACGTTTGAAGCAAGGTGTCCTCCCTAGAACACCTGAGAGAACAAGCTTGGGAATCTGCCAGGCTGGCCTCTATCCACATTTGGGAGTTGGAACCAGTATATAACTTTTAAAAGTCACCTTTTGTCTTGCTTTATGTGTCCTCTTATTTTATATCCCATTACTCACTCTAACTCACTCTCAGAGAAATACTAACTTAGTGAGAATCTTTGCAATGATCCTACATATTGCCAGTAAAATTAAGGGTAATGGTTCCCTTCTCCCCAGCTCCTTTCTGATCTACAATACACAGTCAAAGCTTCCATTTAATATGCTCAGAAATATGTGTAAGTCTAATAGTATCTGCGTGAAGGGTTATATTCCTAGAATGTAAAACATACAATAAGAAAAAAAATCATACAAATTGAGGATAAGAAAACAACCAAAGCTATACCACTAGTAAAATTACCTCTTAGGAGACCTCACATGCAAAAATACTCAAGATAAATTTCCTTTAATATTAATTGCAAAAACAATTTCTATTTTCCTTAGAGCCTAAATCTTCCACTGTAATTCATATATCCAATATCTCTGAAAATTTACATCCTAAAAACTATGGCTATCTTATCATTTTATTATGACATTTTTCCAAAGCACATCAAATTCTTTGTAGCATGAATTGTTATATATGTGAGAAAATAACTTGGTATGGTCGTAGAAAACCTATGACTGATGATTTTCCTTACCATTTACTTCTAAAGCAAAGAGCAAGCAATTTGAACTCACTGTCAAGTTCATGCAATTGTGAATAGAATAGAGCAGTGTTTCTGGCTGAAGATTCAATGCATAGTTGAAGATGAGAGGAACATCTTAATATTTTGGGCTCTTATTTGATCATAGATGAAAACCCAGATGACCTTGACATATCTTTTGCAAAATACCTCCAGGTGCTAGTAAACTGAAAGAGAAGAAAGGAAAGGAAAAGAAAGGGGTACGGGAGGGGAAGAGAGCAGGTGGGATGGCCTAATTTCTGAAGATTATTTATGTATTTGCTTATTGAATCCTTCCAGCCGTTCAAAGAGCCATTTTGTTTAAAAATAAATTGAGATGGCCAATAAGAGATCTGTTTATTACAACAGCCTCTAAACCAAAACTGAAGTGAAGAGAAAACAATAGAGCTGTTAAGACATTCACAAAGCAGAATGTCTTGGTAGAAAGAGGAAGTGAACATTCAATAATGGTCAAGACAGAGAAAGGGTGTGGAGGTGGGTGAACCCACCTCCATAAAGGCATTGAGCGGCCATCTCAGCTAGAAGCACAGGTGAGCTGCACTTAAAGTCTCCTTCCTCAGGCCTTCTCTGCTGGTGATTTGTGAACTTTGATATTCAGTTATGCAAAACAATGGCTACCAGCTCTGTACTGGGGCCTCACAGTAAACACACTTAAGGCAAATAAAGATTTATGTCGGGAGCAAATACTCTCCAATTTCAAAATGAAAATTTAAGTGTAAGGAAAGCTTGATCTATATTCATGAATCTCAATTTGCTCTCAAGGCAAGAAATTTGCATCTGCAATGGTTTAATTGGGGTTGCCCATTTCTTTAAAGGATGCCAGGAAAGGCAGGTTGCAGAATGGTCCCTAAGCCAGGGGCCTGTCTGGGAATGGATCTGAGCCCTGGCCCAAGAACAGACAGAGAAATGAGATAACAGTGACCTAAGAATGAACCAACCCTGTCTGCCTGCGACACAGCACACCCCAAGGCAGAGATGGCAGCACTCCTGGCGACCTGCTTATCTTGTCTATTCAAATGAAAAATGTGTTCCAGTTTGTCAATTCTTAGCTGTGAAATGATCGCTTTTTCATATTTATTGAGGATTAGCAAGATATAATGCAGCTTACAAAATAGAAACAGCAATTGCCTTCTGCCTTGTAGGCTTGCTAAGGAGATGATAAAGACATTAGCTATTTTTATTATTTCATTCTCAGTCAAGATTGATTCAATTTTCAAGTCACATGTGCCATTTATTTTTCTGAAAGTGAAAAGGTTAGGAATGTACACATGCCTCCTGGCCAATAAAGAATAGTCTCTGTTAAAATGGAGAAGCTATCCAGTTCAAAATGTCTGAATCATAAATCTGAAAAGTGAATAGGGTTTCTACTAAAGTAGAATACCATTTGTAGTTTGAGGATAATTTGTTAAAATTTAAGCAAGAAGATATTTCTGTTGATAGAGCACAATTAAGGAACACACGAATGCAAATCAATTAAGCAATACAAATTGGGACTGCGACTGATATTATTTTAACTATTATTTAAGTACTTTAAACAGGTATAACATTTTGGAAGTGAATGAAATGACAGGCAAAGTAGTAACTGTACTTGTGGGTTTCTGTTGGTCTTGCTGATGCTGTTCTCACTGTCTTCCTAAATTCACCCAAGCTGTGTATTTTGCATGTTGTATTTATTTTATTTAAAAAATTTTAAACATTTTGTTAGCATGCATTAGTTGTGTGCAGAGGTTCATTGTAACATTTCCATATATGCTATAATAAGCCTTGGTTAGATTCACCCCCTCCATGCTTTTTCCTCACCTCCTCTCCTTCCCTTCTTAAAGCAATTTCAACAGGTTTCATTGTTCTATTTTCATACAAGTACATAAAGTGCATCAACCATGTTTGCCCTCCTTCACCCATTCCATTCACCTACTCTTAGTAAAACAGGACATGTTTTACTTTCCTATCCTTCATTTTAAAAATGTATACTGATTATCAAAGAAGTTTCACTGTAGTTTCACACATGAATATATGTTTTTATGTATGTTGTGCTTATTAAGTGAAGCATTCTTAATATGGTAGAATGTCTTTTCAAATGATTAGTGCTAACAATCTGCTTAATGTAACAGTTACTTATGTTGGATGATACAAGTATTTCTCTAAGCTCCTAAGGAATCATCCAGCAGCTTGCATCTGAATTCAAATACTGCTCTTTATATGAGGTGGAATTACAGTAGCTCAGCAAATTCTTGACTATGGCAAAGCTGGTAAAGAATGTGAAGAAAAATGCATATCCAGGACTGGCCTCTCCTTTTGCTGAAGTTTGGTAGTCTGTGCCTTTTGCTAATTTCAGTATCTACCTGGTTCTCTTCTTTGACTTTTTTACTCATAAGCATAAGGAATTGTTTCTAGGCTTCCTATTAATACCTCTATATTTTTATCTGCCTTGAAGATATTCCATTATAAATTAATTATACCTGTTGATCACTGACTGTAAGTCAAACGGGGAGTGAAGCACTTTTACCTGATTGCTGTGAAATCCTGAGAGGCTATAATAATTATTAAACTTGTTTTATGGAAGAAAAAACTGTGACTAAGAAAGATGTAGCAATTAATCCAGGTCATGAAACTCCTATGAGAAAAATCTAGAATTTACCTCATGGCTTCTGACTCTAGCACCTTTGCTCTTACTCACTAAATTAAAGTAGTATTTATTAGGCATTCTT